CAGGGAGTCTGCTATTTTGTTGTCTTTTCCTTTTTTCTCGGTCGCTAAGCTGGTGCTGCTGCCACCCAGCAGCAGCAGCAGCAGCAACAGCAGCAGCAGCAGCAGCAGCAGCCTCAGCATTTGCAGTAGCAGCGACAGCAACAGCAACAGCAGCAACACTAGCAGCATCAGCAGCAGCAGCAGCCTCAGCATTTGCAGTAGCAGCAACAGCAACAGCAACAGCAGCAACACTAGCAGCAGCAGCAGCAGCAGCAGCCTTAGCATTTCCAGCAGCAGCAACAGCAACAGCACCAACACTAGCAGCAGCAGCAGCAGCAGCAGCAGCCTCAGCATTTGCAGCAGCAGCAGCAGCAGCAGCAGCAGCAGCATCAGAGAAGAGCATCAGCAGCAGATCGAGTCTTTGTCTTTTATATCTGCTGCACTGCAGCAGCTGCTGCAGCAGCAACCACTAATATTTATAATAGGAGGCAGCAGCTGCTGGCTTTCTCGTGTTTGCTGCTGCTACCTTTCTCCTTGCTGCAGCAGCACAGGCAAAGGAGTAGGGTTTAGGGTTTAGGGTTTAGGGTTTAGGGTTTAGGGTTTAGGGTTTAGGGTTTAGGGTTTGGTTTTTTTTTAAGGGTTTACAGTTGATCCTGTGTTGTTTAGGGTTTATAGTATTAGGGTTTTTATTTTTAGGGTTTAGGGTCTATATGTTTAGGGGTTAGGGTTTAGGGTTTAGGGTTTAATGTTTAGTGTTTAGGGTTTAGGGTGTAGGGTTTAGGGTTTATATTTTTAGGGTTTAGGGTTTAGCGTGTAGGGTTTAGGGTTTAGGGTTTATATTTTTAGGGTTTAGGGTTTAGGGTTTAGGGTTTAGGGTTTGTGTTCAGGTGTATGGGCAGCTACCTATGCCTTTGCTGCTGCAGCTGAAGCTGCTGCTGCAGCAGCAGTTTCGTTTTATCTTTCTTTTGGGTTTTCCTACTACTCAATCACCAACCCCTTATTTATATTCTTTGCTGCTGCAGCAGCAGCAGCAGCAACTGCAGCAGCAACTGCTGCAGCTCCAGCAGCAACAGCAACTGCAGCAGGAGCAAGTGCAGCAGCAGCAACTGCAGCAGGAGCAGCAGCAGCAACAACTGCAGCAGCAGGAGCAGCAGCTGCAGCAGGAGCAAGTGCAGCAGGAGAAGCTGCAGCAGCAGCAGCAGCAACAACAACAGCAACAAAACCAGCAGGAGCAGCAGGTGCAACAGCAGCAGCAGCAGATGCAACTGCAGCAGCAGCAGCAGCAGCAACTGCAGCAGCAACTGCAGCAACTGCAGCAGCAGCAGCAGCAATATAAGCATGTTTATACAGGCTTCTTCCCCCCCTTAGATGAGCAAGAAAAATATCTGGCG